TTTTATTTAAAAAAAAAAAAATTTTTTTTGGTTAAAACAGTAGAAAACATTTTTCGTTCATACATTCGGATTTTCAGGTACATAAAAACGATTGATTGTCCAAATTTAATTAATTTCTAGGCAAATCTAAAATTTTTTTAATAATATTATTAATATTAATGATTTAAATATTTTCATATTAATAATATTAATATTTTTATTATTTCTATTATTAATAATTTTAATTTTTTTCATATTAATAATTTTAATATTTTTATTTTTAATAATTTTAATATTTCTATTATTAATAATTTTAATTTTTTTCATATTAATAATTTTTATATTTTTATTTTTAATAATTTTAATATTTCTATTATTAATAAATTTAATTTTTTTAATATTAATAATTTTTATATTTTTTAATATTACACTAAAATTATAAATTTCGTAAAACTTATCAAACTATATATATATATATAAAAATTTATATATCTAAAAAATCGACTGGAATACGAAAAAAAAAATATAATTGGCGAAGAACAAAAAAAAAGAATCGATTCAATCATGAATTTAAATTACCGATAATTTGCGTTTTTCTTTCTTTTTTATATAAAAAAAAAAAAAAAATCTTTAAAAAAATTTGTGTGCGTATAATGTAAAAATTCAAGCGTTTCAGAAAGTTTTAGGTCCGAACAGTCACGCGAAGAGAAGAATGACGAGTTTATTTTTTTCAGGCCAACCTTTTTCGATAGAAACAGCCAATCCGGTTTTAGAAGGTCTAAATTCTAGATCTTTTGTATATAATATTGTCCAGCGAACACTTATACCAACTAGTATATTATAATACACACAAATGAAACAAAAAAAAATTAAAAATTAAATAAATTAAATTAAAAAAAAAATACAATTGAATCTATAAAATATATATCTGACAAATTTCCCCCCTTTTTTTTTCTTCGTAATTTTAAAGACCAATTTTTAATACGCGATAAAATGAAATTCTACAAAATTTTTTTTGATAATTTTCAAAAGTATATTTTCTTTTTATTTGATTTACTTTTTTAGTGTAATTATTATTGTTCGTTTCTCACTTTATATATTATATACATTTTATAAAATCCTTAATTCTGTATTCAATTTGCCCTTGATAATAAGACCGGTTTATATTCTTGAAGTTTTATGAAAAAAAAAAAAAAATGCAAAGTGGATGTCATTCGAAATAAATGTATGAAAATTGAAACATTTAAATAATAGAAAAAAATTAAATACATTATTGACTGAATATAAAATTATTTATTATTAATTATTTACAGTTGTTAATTTTTTACTGTTTAATTAATTATTTATTATTTAGTACAATATTTAAAATAAAAATATAAATTTATAAATATTATAAACTACCATTAATAAAATTACTATTTAATTAATAATAAATATAATAATAATAAAAAAATAATAATAAATATAATAATAAATGATAATTATAATTGCAATCAGAATTAGATAATTGAAATTATATAATTTTTATTATTTTATATTATTTTTTTTTTTTATTATTATTTTATTATTTTTATTAATTTTTATATTTTATATAAATTTTTTTCCAAAGAAGTTGTCAATATTTTTATGTACATATTTATTGTTTTCTCTTGTCAAATATTTCGTATATGAAAAATTGTCTTTAGAATATTTTACCGCAGCTTCTTTTCAAAAAAAAAAAAAAAAATTTGTTCACCAAAAAAAAAAAAGGGAAAACTCTTTCGTGAATATATATTTTTTAAAAAATCCAAAGGGTTTACATATACATGATCGATTAATTCAATCCTAAAGTTAACTGTGGAAGAAATGGCGCTGAACTTTGCACACGCACGCTGACAGCGGTCGAGATCTGACGATAGTCAGGGAGCAAAAATGATTTATTGCTGGTGGACATGCCACGTCGAGCTAACTTTGCAAAACGTTACAAAGTTGTCCAGGTCGATGCGAAAATTTCGAATGGTTATATATTGACAATGCTTTTATCTCTTTTTTTTAAAAAAAATTTTAATCTCAATCAAGTATTATTATAATTATTCAATTTTAATTAGATGAAATTTTATTTTGATGAAATTTTATATTCAGATGAAATTTAATTTAGATGAAAATTTTAATTTAGATGAAATTTTATTCAAGTGAAATTTTAATTCAGATGAAATTTTGTTTAGATGAAATTTTATTCAAGTGAAATTTTAATTAAATAAAATGTTATTCAGATGAAATTTTAATTACATAAAATTAAATTAAATAAATAAGAAAATATGTATATATGATACACGGGGGAAGAAAAAAATGAAGCAAAAGCTACTGGTCATCATACGCAAAGTGAGAAAAGGATTGATTGTCGTAGACCGTAATGCGAAAAACACGAAAGAACATTAGTCGGATGTGCCCAGCTTGTCACGTGCATTCGAACGAAGATTAATGGTGAAAGAAACATGAACGCGTTATAAAGTAGAAGAGCACACGTTAACTCCTTCATATACGCCTCTTTTTCCCCCCCTCCCCACTTATATATCTAATTAAAAATTTTCTGACCCTACAGAAAGTCCTCTTCAATCTATATTTAGTGGCACCTCAAAGCAAATTTTTTTAAAAATTTTATTAATAAACTACACTCAAACCTGTCCAAATGAGACACTGAAAATTAGTTGACTGACTAATTTCCATAAAATCTATAACTTCCATAACCGAATAATAAGAGAAAATTTGGTAAATATTTGTTTTGATAATAAATTAATATTTGAAAAAATAATTTTAGTCTCACTTAACAAGGTTTGAGTGTATGTTAAAATATTGTCTCAATTTCCTTAAGCTCTATAACTAAAAAGATAACTAAAAATTTAGCAAATATTTGTATTCATAATAAATAATTATTTAAAAGCAAATAATTTCTGTCTCACTTAACAAGGTTTGAGTGTATGCTAAAATAGGTTGATATCTCAATTTTTCTAACGCTTAATAACTAAATGTCAAAAAGAAATTTAGTAAATATTTGTTTTGATAATAACTATTTGAGGCAAACAATTTTGTCCTGTCTCAGTTAGCAAGGTTTAACTGTACTAAAATATTGTTAGACACTTGTCTCAATTTCCTAACGCTCCATAGCTAAAGGTCAAAAAGAAATTTAATAAATATTTATTTGAAGCAAATAATTTTGTCCCGTCTCACTTAGCAAGGTTTAACTGTATTAAAATATTATTAGACACTTGTCTCAATTTCCTAAAGCTCCATAGCAAAAGGTCAAACAGAAATTTATATATATTTATTTAAAGCAAATAATTTTGTCCCGTCTCACTTAGCAAGGTTTGACTGTACTAAAATATTATTAGACACTTGTCTCAATTTCCTAACGCTCCATAGCTAAATGTCAAAAAGAAATTTAGTGAATATTTGTTTTGATAATAACTATTTTAAGCAAATAATTCTGTCCCGTCTCACTTAGCAAGGTTTAACTGTACTAAAATATTATTAGACACTTGTCTCAATTTTCTAAAGCTCCATAACTAAATGTCAAAAAGAAATTTAATAAATATTTATTTGAAGCAAATAATTTTGTCCCGTCTCACTTAGCAAGGTTTAACTGTACTAAAATATTATTACACTTGTCTTAATTTACAAAATAAATAAAATAATAAGAAAATAAAGAATAAAAATATTCACGAATATTAAATTAAAATAAGTAACTAAATTAAAATAAGTAAAATAAATAAAAAAAAATAAACAAGAGCCGTAAAATATTTTCTGAATAAACGTCATATATATAAGAGTATATTTATTAACAGAGTTCATATAATTAAATTGGCAAAAATTAATCAGCGTAGAGGAAAAAGAAAAGAAAATCTCACGATAATATAAGGGTCCAAAAAAAAAAACAAAGTAAACCGGTGCCACTTTAACATTAAGTTCTTCGTGCGGTAGTCGCGGTAGTGTGTCCCCCCATAAAAGGAATCTTGTCTTATTATCAACAAGTAATGATCTGTGAAGCTACATCGGACTTATTCGTAAAAGTATAATACGACATTTTTTTTTTAAATTATCCCTCTCAACATTGTATAAATTTTTCAATTCTCTTTTCGCCTTTATTTTTTCAATTCAAGATATTTAATATTTATTGCATCGATATAAAATAAATTTTAAATTTTTAAATATTTAATTCAATATTTTATTATTCTATTAATTTACTATTTTAATATACCTATTAATTTACTATTTTAATATATTATTAATTTACCATTTAATCTATTAATTTGCTATTTAAATTTTCTTAAATTAATTTTTTTTAATGTTTGCAATTTTAATTTTTACTATTTATATTTATTAAAAATAAAGTAATTAATTTACTGTATATCAATTTATTATGTATTACTAGTTATTTTTATTATAATAGTAAATTTATTGTATTTAATAATACAATCAAACCTGATTAGGCGAGATTTTAATGACGTGGAAAATAGTTTCATTGCAATTCTGTATCAAAAACTTTCAATGATTCCATTAACGGATAAGTGAGATATCTGTTTTCGTATAGAATCAAATGAGCTTCTTTACACGCTCACTTAAACAGGTTCAACTGCATATTTATCCAAATTGGATTATTACGTTTATATTTACATTGAATATCAACCCTAAACTTTGCAAAAAAAAAAATATTACTCTAAGAAGTTAAAATTAAATATTTTTTTATAATAATATTAATAAATATTATAAATATCAAAATATAATATTCATTATTCAATTTTTCTATTTTATTATTTCTTTTATTGCTATATTATTGTTTTATTACACTATTTAATTGTTATTTTTTATTATATTGTTTTATTTATTGATTTTTATTATATTTATTTTATTATTTTTTCTTTTATTTATTTATTTTTGTATTTATAGTTATATTTGTATAATTATTTTTCCAATTATAATCGAATATGGAGAATGTAAATGATGAATAATAATAATAATAATAATAATTTATCGAGTTTACTCACCTCGGTGCGTTGCTGTAACCTCTTGTTCAGCTCATAGAGTCGGTAGTCCGGTTGGTTCATGAATGGTGTGTGCCTCCTGGGGACAGGCAACGATCTGTCAGACCAGACCGAGAGGTCATGTTAGGGTGCTGTGTACAATGTGTTTTGTGTGTGTCACGTGTATCATGCATATTTCAATAAAATTTAAATTAAAATTAACCCACAAACTTGGCTGGCAAATCTTATCACTCTATATGTATATATATATATATATATATATATATATATATATATATATATATATATATATAACTTTGAAACAAACTTTTGGACAAACTTTCTTTTATATATTATATATATATATATATACTTTTAGAGAACTCATGCAAATTCTTTTGCTGTATTTCATTCACTATTTTTTCTTTTTTCATTCATTCTTTTTCATTTCCTTTGCAAAATTAGATACAACTTCCTATTAATAATAATTTCTTGAAACTTCAATTTATATTTATATCAAAATTTTTTCATTGTCTAATTTTTTATATTGTCAAATTTTTTTACACTCAGATTAAAGAACCAAATGTACCATTTTTTTTATATTTACCCAATTTTTTGGTTAATTCAAACCAAAATTTGTTTAATTCAAATAAATATTTATTTGATCTAAATAACTTTTTGGTTTATTTTAATAAATTTTTTGAATAGAGAAAAAATTTTATTGAGCTAAATATAAACGTTTGGTTTGAAACAACCAAATTTTTGGTTAACTGTATATCATAATGCATTTATTTTATTGATTTAACCAAAAATTTTGTTGCTTCAAACGAATTTTTTTTTCTGAGTGTATATTATCAAATTTTTTATATTATCTAATTTTTTATATATAGTCAAATATATATTTATTTATAAAATTAAATAATTTTTCATTTAGAATAGAATTACATTTATTCACTGATGCTAATTTATTTTTTCATTTAGTTTTTAATTTAAATGCAAAAGAATAATTAAATTTGCCAGCCAAATGATAATGATAAATAAATTATAATTATTCTTTATGTGTATCGTCTAATAACTATACAATATTTATAATAAAATTACGACAATTATAGTTAAATAATAATAATACTAATAATAATAAAAAAAAAATAATAATATTAATAATAATAATAATAATAATATAGTAGTAAAAAAGGAACAACAAATAACACATCATGAGGAAGCAGAAACAATGTGAAAGATTCGATTTTGCGATTTCGATCATTTTCTGTAAATATATATATATTGGGAGAGATGTATGGATACCTTGAAAGAAAACGATAAATGAGAGAAATACCCTTATACCTTGTTAGCTGTTCATTCTCTCAGAAGCACAAATCCAACAATGGATTCGTCTTCTATTACGATTCAATCGTGGGAAGACTTATCTACTCTCAGACGTTAACATATATGAATGGCACTGATGTAAGTCAAATCAAAGATAACATAATCTACGAGCGATTTATCACATACGAGATAAATATTTTGTTTTAATAAATTTCATATTCAATTAAATATTAATAATTTAATTGTTAATAAATAATAAAAATTCAAAATCTGAATTAGTTAACAAATTGTTAGTAAAATACTTTTTGCTTTTAACAAATAGTAACTAATTATTAGTAAAAAAAAATTACTAATTACTAATTACTAATTACTAATTACTAAAAATCAGTCACTGCTTAACGAATATTTTTTTTTGGAGCAAAAAATGATTATTTTATTAATAATTTTTTTAATTGAGAGAAAGAGAGAGAGAGAGAGAGTTGAATAATTTTTTGGAGAATGATCTTGAACTTGGAAAAATATAAGGTATAGTATTATTCAGAGTCGCCGACCATATCATGGCGGTTAAACGCATGGTAATTAACGTCAAAATGATATTACTTAACACGCTAGTTTCCCCAAGACATGAGAGAGTGTATATATATATACATAAACATATCCGTGGCGACGCATTCAGTTTAGTTAGAGAGATATTTTGAAGACAGTGCCGGGATTTACTAAGAAGGAAATATATGTATACGTAAAGGCGAGTGCAATAAATTTTGCAAAACTGTTTAATCTTAATGAAGAGAACAAATTTTTATAGAGACAAATTCATAACTTTATGGAAAAAAATTAAATTTTTCAATTTTTTAATTCTCATTTAATAGAATTTTAAGTGCATCGAATTTTTAAACTCTACACGGAGAAAAAAAGTTATCCATATTAGCTAAAATTTAGCTATTTTAGCTAACCCTTTTTGTTATTATATGCACAGCAATTTTCATTAGCTAATACAGCTAAAAATTATCTACTACAGCTAAAATAGTTTGCTGTAACAGCTAAATATTAGCTACTGTAGCTAAAAATTAGCTATCCATATAATAGCAAACTCATTTTTCTCCGTGTAAATTTGAATTAGTGAAAAGTTACTTACTCTCTAAATCTGAATTAGTAAAAATATTTACTAATTTAAATTAGTGACTGACTTTTTGCTTTAGAATTAGTTAAATTTTACTAATTGTTAGTAAAAGTTACTAATAATTAGATTTACTAATTAAGAAGCAAAAAGTGAGTCAAATTAGTAAACTTTTTTACTAATTCAGATATAGAGAGTAATTCACAGAATTTTTACTAATTTTTTATTAAAATATTACTGATTTAGTAGTTTTAAATTTTACTAAAGTATTTTTAATAAAATTTTAGTAAAAAGTTACTAAGAATTAGTAAAAATTTCTACTAATTTAAATTAGTAGCTCACTTTTTACTAATTCAAATTAAGAGAGAATACTAGAATTTTTAATTCACGGAATTTTAATTTGTCCAAATTTTCATTTATCCGAAATTGCAAATAGCCAAATAAATATAATCGACGAAAAAATTTCACCGCTGTTTTTAAAATTTACCAATCACGATTTTTTTTTTTTTTGAATAATTTTTGATTGGTCAATTTTTTGAAAAATCGCGCCGAAATCTTTTTGGTCATTTGCAATTTCGGACAAATGAAGATTCGTATTTAAGAATTATAACAAATAATGATTCGTAAAAAATAAAAAATTAATAAGAAATTTTGGCATTTAAAAATTTGTATCACTTAAAATTCGCTTGAATGATAATTTTATGTTAAATTAAAATTCAGTTAAATTAGAATTCTTTTAAATATATAGAAAAATTTTGTAAAGTGAAATTCAGTAAAATAGAAAATTTTTTACCAAATAAAAATTTGGTTGCCTAAAAATTCATGAAAAATAAAAAATTTGTTTAAAAATAAATTCTGTTATAAAGGCATAAATTCTGTAAAATAAAAATTCGATTGAATGAGAATTCTGTTAATAATAAAAATTCTCATAAATTCGAAATTGTGCCAAACAAAAAGTTACTAGCTAAAAATTTTGTTATGAAAAAATTCGTATAAAATAAAAATTCTTCCAAATGCTAATTCGAAAAATGAAAATTTGTCAAAAAATAATTATTTACTCTCTAAATCAGAATGTTTACTAATTTAAATTAGTGGCTAACTTTTTGCTTTAGAATTAGTTAAATTTTACTAATTGTTAGTAAAAATTACTAATAATTAGTAAAATTTTACTAATTCAGAAGCAAAAACTGAGTCACTAATTCAAATTAGTAAACATTTTTACTAATTCTGCTTTAGAGTGTATAATAAAATTAGTATAAAATAAAAATTCTGCCAAATGCTAATTCGAAAAATGAAAATTTGTCAAAAAATAATTATTTACTCTCTAAATCAGAATGTTTACTAATTTAAATTAGTGGCTAACTTTTTGCTTTAGAATTAGTTAAATTTTACTAATTGTTAGTAAAAATTACTAATAATTAGTAAAATTTTACTAATTCAGAAGCAAAAACTGAGTCACTAATTCAAATTAGTAAACATTTTTACTAATTCTGCTTTAGAGTGTATAATAAAATTCGTATAAAATAAAAATTCTGCTAAATATGCTAATTCGAAAAATGAAAATTCGTCAAAAAATAATAATTTATAATAAAATTCTCTAATCTTTAAATTTGAATTAGTGAAAAGTGAGCTAAGTAATTTAAATTAGTAAGAATTTTAACTAATCTTTAGTCACTTTTTACTAAAACTTTAGTAAAAAAAAAATTGAAAACTAATTCAAATAGTAATATTTTACTAAAAATTAGTAAAAATTCTTACTAATATGAATTAATAACTCACTTTTCACTAAATCAAATTTAGAGAGTAAAATAAAAATTGTGCAAAAAAAAAAAAATTAATTCAATTATATAAAAAAAATTCAATTTACATATTTTATTAAAAAATTTTTTTAAACAACAAATAATTGCAGCTGTATTAAAAGGGAAGGGGGGGTCTAACGAAAATCAGCGTCTCTGCATTGAGCTTCAATGTGTATATATATATCAGTGCAATTTATATACGTTAGATGGGTTAGTGGTCTAGCAAGCTGGACCAGTGATAGTTATTAAGCTCGGGTTAATGGGTTTAGTTTGCAAAGCTAATGGGCGCGGATATACCATATAGTCACACGCGCCGAGCCGCGTCCGTTTTCAAGTCACGATCAGCTGACTGGACAGCTGGCAAAATGAGTTGAGAAACACTGCTTGCAGGGGTCTCAGATTGGGTTAGCAAAGGGCGCAGTTGGGGTGACGGGGGTGGTTTCCAAAGGGGGAAGGGGGGGAGAGAAAAGAGGGTGTTATTAGGGGTTGTGCTCATGGGGTGGCAGTGTGCGATCAATGCCAGGGAGTCATGCTAGCCCCCCTTTCAGTTTATATATAGAGAACTATATATATATATATATATATATATATATATATATATATAGACAACGAATTCAACCCAAACTTGTGTGTATTCGTGTGAGACTTAATGTGAGTGCCTCTGTACGTCCGTATGTCCACATGTAGTCAAAAGGGAATAGAAGCTATAAACACCGAATGTACATTTTTTTTTGTTCCTAAAAATATATCACCACTCTTTCAATTTTCATGAGCAGTCTAAACTGAATCTTATATTTAATATTGAAAATCATCAAATATTTGGGGTGGATATATATATAATTGATATTGTGAACAAATATATATATATATATATAT